CATAACCACCCCGGGAATCTGGGATTAGCAAAGCACGGAGGAGCTGCTGCACCGAGGAGAGTGGGGCAGACACCACCGTGCCTCGGGGATGCTGTTTTGCCACCCATCCCCAGATCCTTCTGGTTGGCGGCCACAGGTTCCTTGGTGATTCAGGCTGGGAAACAGGGAGGGGAGACCATCAGACAAAGCAAAACAGAGTGAAATGAGAAGCCGTAAAGATGTAAAGGTGCAGGCAGGTCTGCCAGCAGAGCAGCCCGCCGGTAGGCTGGGGAAAGACCCATGAGCTGCCAAAACACTCCCTTCAGCTGGAGGGTCGCTTATGCATTTTGTTTTGTGAGGATTAAAACAACACTTTGAGAATGTGCCCACGCTCGGCTCACCCGTGCCCAGGGGCCCAACAGGCCCCAGTGCCGTACCCGCCCCAGAGAAGACAGGGCAGGGTCCTGGAGGGATGCAGAGCCCGGAGCAGCAATGCCCGAGTCCCCTGGGCCGAGCCAGCCCAGGACCCCCATCAATGGGGTGCAGCGGAGGGCCCCCAGCTGCCTCCCCCCCCCAGCAGCCCTGGGGTGGCCAGCAAGGACAGGCAGGGGGGGGCTTGGGGACCCGCCACCAGATGAAAGCGAGGAGGCCGCCGCTTCCTCCTGTGGTGAAGAATGTTCTCCTAAATATAATTATTTCTGCAGCTACAACAAAGAGAAATCCTATGGGGGAGGTAAAACAGGAATAAACTCTAAACCAGATTATGTCGCAGTCCCAGGAGCACCTGCACGGCATGAGAGGCAATCCTGGGCTAAACAACCACTCTCCTCTCTGAGTGGAGAAACCCCGCGTTATCAGGTTATCATCCCCACGGTTCTCACCGTGGCACCTGCATGGCCTCCACGCCGCGTCCCACCAGCCAGGCCAGTTATGGGCTGCAGGGACAAGGAGTGCTGGCTGGAGCACGTCGGCCTTTCCACTTGCAAACACACCACTGCAGGCAAAGCCGCAGGCAGCTGCCTGCTCTTGCTGGTTCCTGCACGGCCCTTATGAGTGTGGCCTGTGTGTCCTCTCACGGCAGCTCTGCGCCCTCTGAATCACCAGGCCACAGTGCACACATCCCTCTGGGGAAGGGGAAGTGATGGGGAAGGGGAAGAGCACCGGCGTGGAAACAGGAAGAGCCAGAGAAGCGGGACAGACACCGACCATGCGGGGTCGGCTGCCCGCGGGCTTGGCACGCGGGGTGCATCTCTCCTGTGTGCACAGCACGGGCTGCTCAGCCC